TTCAGTAAAAATTGATCCATCTTATGTGCATAAATTGTCAGTTATTGCAGAAGTAATCAGTCAAAAAGAAAAGAAAGTTGAAATGTAGAAATCCTTGTTAAGAACCAGGCTTTAGCCTTTAAACTCGTGGGTGGATAGGGCCATCTGGTGTGCAGTTGTGTAACTAAACATTGCTGTTTTTTTTTTTAACCTCCTTGCTAATAATCAATGTGATTCATTTGTCTTTACAAAAACAAACCATTCTTCACTTGATCTTAGCCAAAAGGCCGAGAAGCGATTAAAAACAAACCATTCTTTTGTTTTTATCCAACTTTTATTTTAAGTTCAGGGGTACATGTGCAGGATGTGCAGGTTTTTTACACAGGTACCTGTGTGCCATGGTCGTTTGCTACACAGATCTTCCCATTACCGAGGTATTAAGTCCAGAATCCATTAGCTATTCTTCCTGATGCTCTCCCTCCCTGCAAGCCTCCCTCTGACAGGCCCCAGTGTGTGTTATTCTCCTCCATATATCCATGTGTTCTTATCATTCAGCTTCCACTTAGAGAACATGTGTGTATTAGTCCGTTTTCACGCCGCTGCTGATAAAGACATACCCGAGACCGGGAAAGAAAAGAGGTTTAATTGGACTTGCAATTCCATGTGGCTGGGGAGGCCTCAGAATCCTGGTGGGAGGTGAAAGGCACTTCTTACATGGTAGCAGCAAGAGAAAATGAGGAAGAAGCAAAAGTGGCAACCCCTGATAAACCCACCATATCTCTTGAGATTTATTCACTATCACAAGAATAGCATGGGAAATCAGCTCTCATGATTCAATTACCTCTCCCTGGGTCCCTCCCAGAAACGTGAGAATTCTGAGAGATAAATTTCTAGTTGAGATTTGAGTGGGGACACAGCCAAATCATATCAATGCAGGGTTTGGTTTTCTGTTCCTGTGTCAGTTTGCTGAGGATAATGGCTTCCAGCTCCATATATGTCCCTGCAAAGGACATAATCTTGTTCCTTTTCATGGCTGCATAGTATTCCATGGTATATATGTACCACATTTTCTTTATCTAGTCTATCATCGATGGGCATTTAGGTCAATTCTATGTCTTTGTTATTGTGACTAGTGCTGCAATGAACATATGCGTCCGTGTATCTTTATAATAGAATTATTTCTATTCCTTTGGGTATATACCAAGTAATAGAATTGCTGGGTCAAATGGTATTTCTGCCTCTAGGTCTTTGAGGAATCGCCACACTGTCTTCCACAATGGTTAAACTAATTTACACTCCCACAAAGGGTATAAAAGTGTTTCTTTTTCTCTGCAACCTTGCCAGCATCTGCTGTTTTTTGACTTTTTAATAATTGCCCTTCTGACTGGCATGAGATGGTATCTCAGTGTGGTTTTGATTCGCATTTCTCTAATGATCAGTGATGTTGAGCTTTTTTTCATATGTTTCTTGGCCACATGTATGTTTTGAGAAGTGTCTGTTCATGCCCTTTGCCCACTTTTTAATGGGGTTGTTTAAAACAAACCATTCTTACGGCTTTCTTAGGGTAACATTTTGAAAACATTGGCTCATTCTCAAACATAAGCCTTCTCAAACCTATTATAATCTAACCCTCACCAACTTCAGTAGGGCTTGCCTGCTGACAGATCCTCATCAGAGCAAAGTCAAAGCTAAAGTTCAGGGGGCCAGAAACTGTGAGTAAACAGAGGAAGCCAGTAAGGAGAGAGCAGAAAATGTAACCCATGGAAGGGAGGAGACAAACTTCAAGAGGAAAAAGTTCCCAATGCTTGCATATCTTACTTCTTTAACCTCGTAGAGCCCAACAAATAAGTTATAAGAAAGGGAGAAGAGGCTGGGCGCGGTGGCTCATGCCTGTAATCCCAGCACTTTGGGAGGCCAAGGTAGGTGGATCACAATGTCAGGAGTTCAAGACCAGCCTGGCCAAGATGAGGAAACCCCGTCTCTACTAAAAATACAAAAATTGCCTGGGCGTGGTGGTGCATGCCTGTAGTCTCAGCTACTTGGGAGGCTGAGGTAGGAGAATCACTTGAACCCAGGAGGTGGAGGTTGTAGTGAGCCAAGATCACCCCATTGCACTCCAGCCTGATAACCACTTCCACCATTACTGGAGTCTGGACCAGCCAGCCAGATTCCCACAGGATGTCTCTGACCTGCAGAGGGGCTAGGAAGGTGAGAGGCATCCAGACCATGCTACAGAACTCAGTAATCAGAGCCTGTGCTGGAGCCACCAGGGTCCCAGGACCACCCTGTGAATCTCCTGACAGGACCAGGCTCCTCGATGCCTGAAATAAATCTCAGCAGAACTCCTGTGATTCATAAGTGAGTCATTTACTAACTTATTGTCAGTATAGATTCTCCAATGGGGGAAAGCTGGCAACTTCCGGAGACATTTTTCGTTATAACAACTAGGAGAGGGGCATCTACCACTGGTGTCTAGGGGGTAGAGGCCAGAGATGCTGCTAAACATCCTACAACGTACTGGACAATCCCACCACAAAGAAAGATCTGGCTCCAATGATCAGTAATGTCGAGGTTGAGAAACCCTGGTGTCAGCGGCAGGAGAAGCCTTAGAGGGAATTTCCAGAGTGGTAGGATCAACACAGGATAGACCCTGAAGTTTAAACTTCTTCCGGGGGGACTGCTACCTCGTTTGGAGAATACCATGCTATATCACTCACTGTGGCCTGATGCGAAGTTATAGGTAACAGATGCCAGCAGAAGTTCTGGCCAGAGGAAACCAAGATAAACCTAAGCAGACAGTCCCTGTGAAACTGAACAGAGTCAAAGATCATGAATGGAGAAACTGAGGCTAATCAGTTTGACCTCATTCCTTCCTCGCCCCACAATCAGGGGATTTTGTGACTGAATTTCCTACCAACAGCAAAGGAATAAGAAGGCTTAGGTGAGAGGGGAAAGGGGCTAAATGGAGGGGAGCAGTGGAGCAACAGATTAGTGGGTAGCGCATTTATTTTTATTTACCTTTTTTTTTGTTGTTGTTGTTAAGACAGAGTCTTACTCTGTCACCCAGGCTGGAGTGCAGTGGTACAATCATGGCTCACTATACCCTCGAACTCCCAGGTTAGAGCCTAGGAGTAAATACTAGGATTACTAGTAATGACCCTAGGATTAATAGAGTGATCCTCCAATCTCAGCCTCCCGAGTAGCTGAGACTACAGGCATGCACTACCACACTGGCTTACTTTTAAATTTTTTGTAGAGATGGGGTGGGGGTCTCACTATCTTGCCCAGGCTGGTCTGGAACTCCTGGGCTCAAGCAATTCTCCTGCCTTGGCCTCCCAAAGTGCTGGGATTACAGTTGTGAGCCACCACGTCCAATCCAATGGTAGCAGATTTAAACACAGGTGGATTTGGAAAAAAATCTTATGATAGGTTTAAGATGAGACAGCAGGCCTGTTGAAACTAAACAGTGCTTTGTTAAGCTTGTTTTTGGTTGGTCAAGTACAGAAAGGCAAGTGTCTCTGCTAAAGAGTACATAGAGCAGGAATCCTCAGCAATCACCCATTTGAGAACATGAAGACAGAAAGCAGTTGCCACACACTGCCCATTAACAGATATACTTTTAAAATTCCTTATTTTCAATTTTATTTTTTTGCTCTCTCAGCAGAATCAAATATATGTAATTACTCTCATGGAGGCTTGCATTCTCTGGGACTTAGGCCTGATAAATCATGGTCAGTAGATTTCCTTGTAACAGGGGGCTGGGGAGCATACGCCAAACAGGGAATGTTCTGGAAAACTCCTTAGGCACAAGCTGAAAATCTGCTTGAGGTTTTGGATACAGAACATTTATAGGATACCTCTTGGTGGTCCAAGAGGACTTGAGTCTACTTTGTACATATGGGATTTTGTTTTTAATTAGATTGATTCACAAAGAACCAAACCTAAGAAATCACATCATTCATTCGTTCATTTAACAAATTTGTAGGTTGAAGCATTTACCAAGTGCTGACAATAGGAAGAAGTCCTGGGTGTGCTTTGTCAGTTTAGTCGGGACTACACAGATGAGTCAATAACTGTAGTGGAGTGACGGGATCTCAACTGCCAGGAATCCCCCGGCTCTCCTCTCTTCCTGTGTCTCCTCAGGCAGTTAGCTGCTACTCCTTCCTTCCTTCCTTCCTTCCTTCCTTCCTTCCTTCCTTCCTCCCTCCTTCCTTCCTTCCTTCCTTCCTTCCTTCCCTTCCTTCCTTCCTTCCTTCCTTCCTTCCTTCCTTCCTTCCTTCCTTCCCTCCTTCTTCCCTCCTTCTCTCTCTTTCTCTCTTTCCTTCCTTCCTTCCTTCCTTCCTTCCTTCCTTCCTTCCTTCCTTCCTTCCTTCCTTCCTTCCTTCCTTCCTTCCTTCCTTCCTTCCTTCTTTCCCTCCCTCCCTCCTTCTCTCCCTCCCTCTCTTCCCTCCCTCCCTCCCTCCCTCTCTTTCTCTCTTTCTTTCTCTCTGCAGATTCTGGACCCATTCCAGACTTACTAAAGGAAATTCTCTAAAGGTGAGGCAGTTTTTTAAAGACAGCAGCTCTCTCTGTTGCCCATGCTGGAGTGCAGTGACCCGATCATAGCTTATTGCAGCCTCGACTTCCTGAGCTCACGTGATCCTCCCCCCTCAGCCTCACTGAGTAGCTGGGACTACAGGTGTGCACCCACCACGCCCAGCAAACTAAAAAAATAATTTTTTTTAGTAGACACGGAGGTCTTGCTATGTTGCCCAGGCTGTTCTCAAACTCCTGGCCTCAAGTGATCCTCCTGCCTCAGCCTCCTAAAGTGTTTGGATTACAGGCATGAGCCACTGAGCCCGGCCTAGCTACTCTTTCTGAGTTGTGCCCACTACACAAAGTTGTCAGGTACATGAGACGTCTGTGCATTTCTGGCCTGGACCCTATATTAAGTGCTCCGTAAACGTCAGTTTCTATTATCAACAGCACCCTGTTTTGGCTGGAAGAACCTTCTCTAAAACAGGAAATCAGGAATCAGCAGTTTTAAGTTTTCCAGGTTATATTTTAACATTGTGTTCATATGCAAAACAAAGTTTGTGAATCAGCACGAATGCTGGCAAGTCCTGGAAAGTTTCTGATCATGGACTTTCACGAGCCCCCAAGGCGAGGAGAAACAGAAACCCAGGACACCCTGCGCGCCGCTTTGCAGTCAGGCGTCGCCTGGACTACATTTCCCATATCCAATTGCCAAGCTCCTGCAGGATTGGCCAGAACAACGCGGAAGTGATTACGGGTAGCCCAGCAACGGGCGGAGTCCTGGACCGAAACTGGATGCGCACGCCCCTTCCCTGCGGCGGGTAGGCGGACAAGGCTCCGCTCCATCTCCAGCGCCTCGGAGTACTCTCCGGTTTTGCTGTCTAGCCCGGCGGCAGCGCGATCTCTTAGGCGCTTTCACCGCCTTCCTCTCCCGGCCCCGCCCCTTTGACGCCGGCAGTCGCGATGTTGCGGAGACTGGATTTCAGCTTCGTGGTCGGCGGAGCGGCCCCTGGAGGGCGCAGTGCGCAGGCGTGAGCGGTCGGGCCCCGACGCGCGCTGGTCTCTTTTGGAGCGGGAGTGAGTTCCTGGGCAAGGAGACCCGGCAGCGGTTGACTGGGGGGCCAGGTGCCTCCACAGTCAGCCATGGCAGCGCTGCGCTACGCGGGCCTGGACGACACGGACAGTGAGGACGAGCTGCCCCCGGGCTGGGAGGAGAGAACCACCAAGGACGGCTGGGTTTACTACGCCAAGTAAGGGGGCCGCAGTGGGGCCGCGGACGCACCTGGGACCCTGCAATGCCCTCGGACGCCACCAGCGCGGGGCGGGCGCGCACTCCAGCGCAGCGAGTGCGGTGCAAAGTGGAAGTGACTGTTAAGGAGCTTCAGGGTTTCAAGGGTCCAGGGTTGCCAGGAGGGGCTGGCCCCCTTGGTGGGCCCTGGGTCCAGCGGGGGTCACCTGGCGGCTTCCCGGCGCGCCCTCTGCTGTTCAGGATGCAGCACTGCGCGGCGCGGCGAGAGCAAAGCGGCCTCATCCCCGCCAAAAATAAAGACATTTTAAAAAGTACACGTGCTCAGCTCCCTCCTGCAGGCTCTGGGTTGCAGGGCTAGGAGTTTTGTTTTGTTTTCTCCAGACCGGTATTGCTCAGTCACCCAGGCTGGAGTGCAGTGGTGCCATCATAGTCCACTGCAGCCTCTACCTACCGGGTTCAGGCAATCCTCTCATCTCAGCCTTCTGAGTGGCTGGGACTACAGGCGTGCACTACCATGCCCGACTGTTTATTTAAGTATTTGTAGAGACCAGGGTCGCACCATGTTGCCCAGCCTGGTCTCGAACTGCTGGGCTCAGGCAATCCACCTGCTTCAGCCTCCAGAATTGTTGAGATTACAGGCGTGAGCCACTGCGCCCAGCCAGGAGTATTTTTTTTTTTTTTAGCAGAAGTCCTAGATAGCCTCACTATCGTTCCGTGGGAAAGTTTTGGAAATCACAGCAAAGCCTTCATCTTTAACTGTGTGACCTTGGACCATTGAAAGAACGTTTAATCTCGGTCTTCTCACCTGTCAAATGGGTTGATGTGAGGGTCAGTTCAGGCACTGTGCTCACAGTAGGTACTCTCTGTTCCTTAACTGTCTTTCCTGATTACTCTTCAGATACGACAGTGCGTCTTATATCAGCACCTTAGAATCACCTAGGGAATGTCCTAAATACACGTTTTGGGTCTCCGTAGAGAACCTATTGCAGCAGACTCTCAACTTTGGGAGTCTGTTTTTTAAGCTTTCCGGGTGAGGTGGAATATCACCTGGTTTTGAGAAACATGGATGTAAATCTGATTTTCAGCACCTGGGAAACTTTTTGTAAGTGGCTTTTTCTGGGCCCCACTTCCAGAGGGTTTTTTTTTTTTTTTCTTTTTTTTTTTTTTTTTTTAAAGACAGAGTCTCGCTCCACACCCAGACTGGAGTGCAGTGGTGCGATCCCGGCTCACTGCAACCTCTGAATGCCGAGTTCAAGCGATTCTCGTGTCTCAGCCTCCCAAGTAGCTGGGAATACAGGCGCCCACCACCATGCCTGGCTCATTTCGCCCTGTTGGCCAGGCTGGTCTCCAACTCCTGGCCTCAAGTGATCCGTCCACCTCGGCCTCCCAAAGTGTTGTGATTATGGACAGGAGCCACTGCGCCAGCCCAGAGTTTCTGATTTAGTTGGTTTGGCCTCTCCCTCTCCCTTGGTAGGTTGTAAAAATCTTCTCTCCCAGGTGATTCTAATCTATGCAAGGTTGTGAACCACTGCTGCCTTTGGTGGCAAGGTAGAAGAAAAACAAGGTTCTGATGAGTTCATTCAAGACACACAGAGGTATTATGTGCCAGGCCTTTTGCTGGCACTGGTTATATCAAGGCAAATAAAAGCCAGTTGTCATCCTTAGGACCCAGTCTTATTAGGGCACAGTGACATGTGTAGGAGCGTCCCCACGCAGTGTGTGTACTGGGAAGCAGCGTGTCTGGCATGAGGTGTGTGTAGGTATTGGGGGGGAACGTGAGGGAATATAGTGGCACACTCACAGTAACCTTGACTTCCTGGGCTTAAGCGATCGTCCCGCCTCAGCCTCTTGGGTACCTGGGACCACAGGTGTGTGCCTCCACACCCAGTTAATTATTACACGTTTTGTGGAAATGGGGTCTCACCATGTTGCCCAGGCTGGTTTGAACTCCTGAACTCAAGCCAGCCTCCCTCCTGCTGCTCTGGAATCACAGGCCTGAGGCTCTGTACCAAGCCCAGAGTGGTGTTTTGAGCGCAAGTAGAAGTGGGTGGGGCAGGAGGGCAGTCCAGGTAGAGGGAACAGTGAGAGGAGAGGCCCCTGCATGGCCTGTCCAGGGGCCTCTGATCTTTGTGAGGGTCCAGGAATGTGAAGGTTAAAGTAGGGAAGGGAGGACCCAGTTCAAGGAGTTCTGTGCCTCGTGGAGAAGCTTGGGCTCTGTTGGTAGAGCCAGAGAGTGGCATTCGGCTTGTGATGTCAGGAAGAATTTCTGGCTCTTGGGAATTAAAGGGCGTTTTCCAGCAGCAACAGAGCTGCATTAGCCTTTGCAGGGTCTAGGCAAGCTCCTGAGCGGACACTTACTGTCCCTCTCACTTGTACGTCTGTCGGGAAGGGCTCCTTCTCATCCTTCAGAGCCGAGCTTACATGTCACTGTCCAAGAGACATGTAAGCTTCCTGACTGTGGGTGTCCCCTCAACCTTGTACTGGTCACCTTGTTTCTCTGCTTCTTTGTGCTCAACCTTGGCTGTGTACTCCTCCTCGTTGGCCCTGTCTCCCTTGCCCGGGTTGCAGACATCTTGAGGGCGGCTTGTTCATCTGCGCGTCCCCGGTGCTTGGCACTCAGAAGCTGGAAGATGAACCCCTGTGGGATGAGTAAATGAATCATCTCAGGAAGGTCAGCTGCGGGCTTCTATGGGTGGGTGGGCGGTGCACTGGGCCTCAGAGTACAGAGATGCACATGACCCCCTTCCGGCTTCCTAAGGCCACCTCTGTCTCTGGCTCTGTGGGGCGTCTCCTCCTTTGCCACTCAGCCACAGAGGTGCTTCTGCTTCCCTGCAGGCATGCCCTGGATCCTGGCGCCAGGGCCCTGGGGCTCCCTTGCTCCCGCTCGCCCTGCGTGCTTCCTGTGCCTGCCTTCCTGCTGCTTGGCCTTTCTCCCATCTGCTTTCTGCCTGTGTGTCCCACGGCCAGGGCGCTCGGGTGTATATGTGGTTTCCAAAAGCCCTTCCTCCAGCCCCCCGACTACTGTCTTAGGTCTCAAGCTGGCCTCTCGGACTCTATTTTTTTTTTTTTTTAATTTAATTAAAAATTCCGGGATACATGTGCAGGATGTGCAGGTTTGTTACATAAGTAAACATGTGCCTTGGTGGCTTGCTGCATCTGTCAACCCATCACCTAGGCATTCGGCCCCGCATGCATTAGCTAGTTATTGTTTACACCAGCTGAGATGCCAGGGCTTGGCTGGCTCCCAGCTGGAGGACTCATCTCTCTGGACCTTCTGTCCATCCCCGCCAGCCCTCAGTTCTCTGGGTGTCAGGGCTGAAAGGCTGAAGTTCTTTGGGTGTTGGGTTAGGATGCCTCTGATCCGTCCCAGCCCCACCTTCCCTTGCTCTCTCCTGATCTGTGAGCATCCTGGCCCTTTTCTTTTTACATTTTTGCGCTTGTTCCAACCCCTTTTCATTCCTGACTCTGGAGGTGACACTGGTTTTTCTCTTGGGGTTGGGGGGACTTTGCGGATGTGCTTTCTAGGAGGCTGCTCTGTGAGTCATTTCTTTTCCATATTGTTTCCCCTCGTGTAGCAGGGCCACGGCCAGGGAGAGAGGCTGTAGCTCCCACTGAGACCTCGGGGTCTGGTGGAACCTGGTCTTGTGTGGCTGCTGTTGGCCTCTCCTGCTTTCCCACCTGCCCCATGGTTCACTTGTATGTCTCAAAGGCACACCCGTCTTAGGGCTCCAGAGCCCACCAGGCTGGGCTCCCAGGGACGGGGTCGGGGGAGACCGGAGACCTGAGAGTGCTGGTGGGCCCTTCTTCCACCCCATCCCCTGACAGTCTCAGAGCAGCCCCTTCGTGGGAGATGGGGAGGGAGGGACAAGGTCTCAGTGTCAGAGCTGTCCTTGTTTGCCCTTCCCTGTCCTCCTTATGAAGCTCAGGCCTTTTGGCAGTCAGAGGCCTCCATGTCTCCTGCGTCCACAGGGCTGGCTGTCCTCACCGTCAACTCTAGATCTCCCTGTTAACGTACACTGTGTTCAGAACACAGACACACACCCTGTAGGCGGGACATGGTGGGAGGCCAAGGTGGGAGGATTGCTTGAGCCTAGAAGCTCGAGGCTGCCGTGGGCTGTGGTTGTGTCACTGTACTCCAGCCTGGGCCACAGAATGAGACCCTGTCTAAAAAAAAAATAATAATAACAGAAAACACCCCATACGTGGAAGTGTGGTATTCATGTAATATGATGTTCACTTAATTTTGAATCCTTTGGTTTAAGTTTAGATTAGTATTAATTATCTCTTTAAATGGCAAGCTTACTGAAAAAATAAAAAATCAAAATTGGCTTTTATTTAAAGGAGAATAGGAGAACACTTAGGGGACATGTGTTCTAATTTTCTCTTCATTAAAAAGTCATTTAAGGTTATAATTAAAAAGAACACCTTTTAATTAATTTTTATATTTATGAAAAATAAGTCTTCTGCTGAAAGGTACAGTTCTTAGTTCTTCCTGTGTTAACTCTATAACCCCAAGAAATAGGTGCTGTTATTGTCCCCATCTAAACTGTTGAGGAAACTGAGGCATGGGATTAAATGACTTCAAGGGCAGAGTGGCTGGCATATTGGAGACCCAGAAAACGGGCAGTCAGGCTCCAGAATTTTCACAACCAAATGACTGTCTCCGTTTCAGCTGGTTCTGGGTTCTTCCCCAGGGATGGTTGTGTTCTGCAGGGGACGGTTGGCAATGTGTGGAGACACTTTCTGTTGCCACAGCTATGGGACTGGGGTATTGGCATCTGATGGGCAGAGGCCAGTGGTGCCCAAGACAACCCCACAACAGAGAATGATGTGATCCGGGTGCAGTGGCTCATGCCTGGAATCCCAGCACTTTGGGACGCTGAGGCAGGTGGATCAGTTGAGGTCAGGAGTTCGAGACCTGCCTGGCCAACATGGTGAAACCCCATCTCTGCTAAAAATACAAAAATTATCCGGGCATGGTGGCAGGTGCCTGAAATCCTAGCTACTCAGGCTGAGGCAGGAGAATTGCTTGAACTTGGGAGGCAGAGGTTGCAGTGAATTGAGATTGCACCACTGTACTTCAGCCTGGGTGACAGAGTGAGACCGTGTCTCAAAAAAAAAAAAAAAAAAAAAAAAGGAATGATTCAGCCTCAAGTGTCACCAGCAGTGAAGATGAGAAACCCTGGTTTAGGCATGTTCTGTGAAAGTCAAGAACATAGGTTGACAGAGTTTGTTTTGTTTTCTAAACGTCTTTCTGAATAAATAAATAAATATTCTAGCTCCTTTGGAAGGTATTCATTCTGTGTGTTTACGTTTGCACACCTGCTGTGGGCCAGGCATGAAGCTACATGTCTGAGGGCCCAGCTTCACCTACTAAGGGCTGGGAGGCTCTTTCTGTGCCAGCCTGTGTACTGTCAAGGCTCAGCTTCCACTGTTACGGGTCATTTCATGGATTTTTTTTTTTTAAGGTTGAGTCTTGCTTTTTCACCCAGGCTGGACTGCAGTGCTGTGATTTTGGCTCATTGCAACCTCCACCTCCCAGGTTCAGGAAATTCTCATGCCTCAGCCACTCAAGTAGCTGCGATTACAGGCATGTGCTACCATGTCTGTCTAATTTTTGTATTTTTAGTAGAGATGGGCTGTTGCCGTGTTGACCAGGCTGTCTTGAAATCCTAGCCTCAAGTGATCCGTCCGCCTCGCCCTCCCACAGTGCTGGGATTACAGGCGTGAGCCACCGCGCCCAGCCACTTTGTCGATTCTTGAGGGTAGAGTTTTTTGGAGCCGGGCTTCAAGCGCGTTTGATGTGTGCCTATGAGATGAAGACTGCTTTTAATGGCAGGCAAGGGAAATGCAACTCCGTCTCTTAACTTTCTTGAAGAAGCGTGAGACAGCTTTGCAAGGGGCAGGAAGGTTTCGCGTTGTTGCCAATGCTTGGTGTATCTGATTGCTGTTCCCGTCCCTTTTGAAGGAGAAGCAGGAGTTGGTATGCCAGTATTCCGTCTGTGCCAGCGGAGAGTGGGCAATCCTTACCAGAGAGTCAGAGCTGCTTTTTATTTTGAGATGGAGTTTTCTCTTGTTGCCCAGGCTGTAGTGCAGTGGTGCGGTGTCGGCTCACCGCAGCCTCCGCCTGCCGAGTTCAAGTGAGTCTCCTGCCTCAGCATACCGGGTAGCTGAGATGACAGGCATGCGCCACCACACCCGGCTAATTTTGTATTTTTAATAGAGACAGGGTTTCTCCATGTTGGTCATCCTGGTCGTGGACTCTCGACCTCAGGTGATCTGCCTGCCTTACCCTCCCAAAGTGCTGGGATTACAGGCGTGAGTCACCGCGCCCGACCATAGAGCTGCCTTTTTTGCAAGTGCTATGGGATGGTGGTTGATGTACAAAGTAGGAGTTTGTCTTTGCTACTGATACCGTAGCTGGTACAAGGATTTAATGGTTCTCCAAGCACTGTCACAGGTGTCGCGTGTCTCGCCTTCTCAGCAGCTCTGTGAGGTGGCAGTAGCGCTGAGGACACTGCCTGGACTCGGCTAGCACGGGTTGCTCAGTCTTCAGCGTGCTCAGTGAGGCATTCCTGCACCGTGACAGAGACCCAGCTGCCAAGACTTTGTCAAGACAGACCAGAAGCCAGCAGTGCATAAAAAGACCTTGCCTGCAAGTTGTAGAATCTTTTTAGAAAATTCATACACTCTGTATTTATTTTCTTTAAAGTAATTGACAGGGAAAGAATGTTCATGTCCCATCACCTAGATGTTGCTGATTTAAAAATAAAACTGTCTGTGTTGGCTTGAGTAGATAAACTTTTAGGGAACCCAGCCTACCCTTTGAATGCCTCTTGTAGCACCTGGCTTTTTCCCTGATGAAGTACTTGTATGTTTTCCTGGATTCCTTCTTACCTGGTGACACGTGTTTCTAGTTATTTTCCTCCTATTTTAATTATAACTTTGGGTGGTGGTCTGAGATGAAATGTTAAGTTAGACGCAAAAATCAGACTAGTTTATGTAACTGATTTGTTCACAGTAACAGCTTACATTTCCCAGAGCTTTTTGTATGCCAGGTGCTATGTGAAACCCTGGATATACAATATTCTTATATAGCAGCCCTCAAGATGAGTGCTAGGATTATTTCTATTTTGCGGGTGAGGGAATGGAGATTAAGGCACAGGGTCGCTTGGCCAGAGGTGCACAGCACACAGTTATGTGACTTATGGGGCTGTCTTACTCCATCTCTTAACTACCTCTTGGGACCAGTTAGGAACCAGTGCTTAATGAAACACTTTGAAGTTACATCTGCGGAAAGAGTAAACATTTTAGCTGGACAAGTGGCTTCTAGTCCCAGCCACTGAAGAGGCTGAAATAGGAGGGTCACTTGAGTCCAGGAGTTCCAGTCCAGCCTGGGCAACATAGTGAGACCCTGATTCTTTAAAAAGAAATATAAATAAATAAGTAAACATTTTAAGAGATTATATACATTAGATATTATGAATTTTGTCATTACATCCTGGAATAAAACTAAAACAAATACAGAGCAAAATGCCTCTAGATTTATTTATTTATTTATTTTTTTGAGACAGAGTCTCGCTCTGTCGCCAGGCTGGAGTGCAGCAGTGTGATCTAGGCTTACTGCAACCTCTGCCTCCCTAGTTCAAGCGATTCGACTGCCTCATCCTCCCAAGTAGCTGGGACTACGGGTGTGTGCCACCGTGCCCACCTAATTTTTGTATTTTTGGTGGAGACGGGGTTTCACCATGTTGGCCAGGATGGTCTCGATCTCCTGACCTCGTGATCTGCTCCGCTAGGGCTCCCAAAGTGCTGAAATTACGGCGTGAGCCACCACGCCCAACTGCCTCTAGATACTTTGAGTGATTCAGCAAGCCTCCTAAAGTTGACCCTGTGGCTGGGGTCGCAGTCCTCTTTCTTTTTCTTCCCTCACTTCCTCCTTATATCTGGCTTCTAAAGACAGGCTGTTGGGAAATTTCTACAGGGCTGCTGCTGCTTCTAACATGAGGAATTTGACCTGATGTAAACAGTGACATTTATATTCTGCCCATGCCTTCCCTGAATGTCTGTTTTTACTACTCTTAAGAGAGAGTATTATGTGGAAGAGAAAAAAGTTTAATACAATTGATTACTCTTTAGAAGAGTTAATTTTTATTTATTACTGTGGATTTTTTTTTTGTTTGTTTTTAACAGTCACACCGAGGAGAAGACTCAGTGGGAACATCCAAAAACTGGAAAAAGAAAACGGGTGGCAGGAGGTTTGTATGTTGTTGTCAAAGGATCTTGGTTTGAAGCATTAAGTAGATGGGGAAAATGTCACCAGCAGAGAGGTGACAGGTTATGGTGTGTTTTTGGGAGGGCTCTTTGGTAGAGAACTGGACTCCCACTCTGAGGAGCTTATGGGATTTGGCAGAAGAAGAAGATGAGATCGTAGGGTGGAGTGAGGATGATTTCTTACTGGTCTTAAAGTACCAAAATGGCCAGACATGATGGCTCATGCCTGTAATCCCAGCACTTTGGGAGGCTGAGGCGGGTGGATCACCTGAGGTCAGGAGTTTGAGACCAGCCTGGCCAATATGTTGAAACCGCATCTCTTCTAAAAATACAAAAATTAGCTGGGCATGGTGGCGCGCGCCTGTAATTCCAGCTACTTCGGAGGCTGAGGAACAGGATGGTCTCAAACCCAGGAGGTGGAGGTTTCATTGAGCCAAGATCATACCACTGCGCTCCAGCCTCGGTGACAGAGTGAGATGCTGTCTGAAAAATAGCAAAAACAACAGCAGAAAACACAATCAAAATAATTGAGGCCTTTGATTCACAGTGTATGATGTTTTCCTATAGTTACAGTGTTTATAAATTTGTTCTTGGCTATACTAGGGAATTAAATATGTAAGTATTTGGGAATTTCGTAAAGATTACCATGACTTCTAGGTGATTCTGAGCTAGTGTGTGATCCATGGAATAGAAATATAAGAAGGGGCCAGGTGAGGTGACTTGTGCCTATGATCCCAGCAGTTTCGGAGGCATAGATGGGAGGATCACTTGTGCCTGGGAATTTGAGATGAGCCTGGACAACATAGTGTGAGACCCCATCTCAAAAAAAAGTATGAGAAGGTTCCTGCCTTTAAGAGGTTTAGGGTCCAGTTGAAGCGTCAACGTGTACACATGAGAAAAAATGGCAGTGCCCTCTAATATCATACGAGGCATCACAAATCAGCGTGCCTGCCCTGCATGTAGATATGTTCTGTGAGCTCATTCAAGGGAGAATTCCCATTGATTGGTGCAACCAGTAAGGTTTATAGAGTGATCAGGCATAAAATAGGTTTTCTTCAAAGCAAGAGGCAAAAATGTGGAGCCCAGGTGGGATCAGGGGCCTTCTGCAGCTGCCACAATTGGAACATGTGACCAAAGCCAGTTGATGTGACAGCTGTTGGCTGGGAGGGACAGGCTTGGGGGCGGGGCCTGGAGGGCTCCTCCCCTTGCTCACCTGGGAACAGTCTTTACTTTCCCTGGCACCTGTAGACCTGTCTTTCTTGTGTTTCAGATTTGCCATATGGATGGGAACAAGAAACTGATGAGAACGGACAAGTGTTTTTTGTTGAGTAAGTATCTACAAATAAACCACTCCCAGCTGTTTGCTTTTTAATAGGAATTTTTAATTATAAAAGTAATACACAATAACTGTAGAAAAATACAAAGTATAATAGTATGGATCTGTAATCTTAGCAGAAGTAACTACTTTATCATCTATAGATTTGTTCTTCTATTTTCCATGCACATGCATCCTTAAAAAAAGATAAGGAGGCCAGGTACGGTAGCTTATGCCTGTAATCCCAGCATTTTGGGAAGCAGGTGGATCACAAGGTCAAGAGATCGAGACCATTCTGGCCAACATGGTGAAACCCCATCTCTACTAAAAATACAAAAATTAGCTGGATGTGGTGGCACACGCCTGTAGTTCCACCTACTTGGGAGGGTGAGGCAGGAGAATCACTTGAACCTGGGAGGCAGAGGTTGCAGTGAGCTGAGATTGTGCCACTGCGCTCCAGCCTGGGTGACAGGATGAGACTCCATCTCAAAAAAAAGAAGGCACTGTGTGGGCTGTTTAGTAACCTGCTTTTTCCACATAATGTATTGTGAGCATTTTCTTGTATCCTTATCTGTTTTTCAAAAAGATGCTATTTAGCAGCTCTGGAGTTATTATTTTGTACAGATATACTATAATTTATCAAATTGCCTATTGGACATTGATGCTAAATTCCTATTGAGAACCTATAATTATAAATAATGTGTTGAGTGAACATCCTTATCTGTAAGACTTTTTCACCTCTCCGTTTCTGTCTTCAGGATAAATTCCAGCATCACGCAGCAATAGTAACCGCCTGTCCAACATACAGCATGAGCCAGGCCTGATTCTAATCATCTTGTGTCTGTAGCATTAGGTCATTCGATCCCCACAGTGCCCTGAGACATAGGTGTTGTTATTATCCCTAGCTTACTGCCAGTGACACAGACTTGAGGGGGTAAGTGACTTGGTAAGGATTCTACAGTAAAGAAGTAGCACAGCCAGGCTTTGAGCTCAGCACCTGCTCCAGGGACTGTATTCTTGCCCACTGTAGTTAAGAGGGGAGTGAATGTTTCACGACTGCTGACATTTAAATTAGAAGCTTGAGTAGTCTTTGACAGGATTAGGATTGGTTGGTTAATAGAAGTTGATTTAAGCAGGATTTTTTTTGTTTTTAAGTTATGAATGTAACATAAATGTTTTAGTGTTTTGATTCAAGTACACCAACGTTTAGGGGTCGGGCCAGCCCTGCTCTTTGAGTTTGAGTCCGCTGCAAGGATCCAGTGTTGTCTTCCTTCCCCAAGCACACCTGTAACATAACATCTACAATTTCTACTTTCACCTTAGGGTTGAGCACACACGGTATTTTCAAAGAATCTGATTGCTACATCATTTGGGAGTTTTATGGTTTTTTTCTAGCATTTTCACTGTAGTTGTTTGAACCAAAACTTTTTTTTTAGCTGCTTGTCTTTGAGGCTCTCCAAACAAGCAATTTCAATCACATTTTCTTTTTTTTTCTTTTTTTTTTTTTTTTTGAGAGACGGAGTCACAAGCTCTGTCGCTCAGGCTGGAGTGCAGTGGCCGGATCTCTGCTCACTGCAAGCTCCGCCTCCCAGTTAACCTCTCCTGCCTCTTCGCGCAATTCTCCTGCCTCAGCCTCCCGAGCAGCTGGGACTACAGGCACCCGCCACCTCGCCCGGCTTATTTTTTTGTATTTTTAGTAGAGACGGGGTTTCACCGTGTTAGCCAGGATGGTCTCGATCTCCTGACCTCGTGATCCGCCCGTCTCGGCCTCCCAAAGTGCTGGGATTACAGGCTTGAGCCACCGCGCCTTGAACCACATTTTCATAGATAATCAGTGACACTTATTTTTCACCTCCCATGTTATCAGTTCGTGTAATAATAGCTTGCTAAATAATGTAGTTACAGTAACAAGTTCAAATGACGTATGTGTTTTTTGAGCAAACCTGGTGAACTTTTGGTGCACAACTAATATTGAGAGCAAATGGGCCAAGGCTTGCTTGAGAGAAGTCTCTCAGGCCACCATAGGCAGCCCCAGGACAAGGCTGTCTAACAGTTGGATAGGTAGCAGTGCCTATGATTTGTTAAAAGGCTTTTTCCCTAACTTGTGAAAGTTTTTTTCCCCTCAATTAATTGAGGATATCAACGCATTGGTTACATGTTGGAAACTTTTTTTTCCCAAGTTTTCTTGTGTGTGTGTGTGTGTGTGTGTTTTGTTTTTGTTTTTTGCAAACTGGGTCTTGCTATGTTATCCAGGGCTGACGTACAGTGACACAGTAACAGCTTGCTGCAGCCTCAACCTCCTGGACTCAAGTGAGCCTCCTGCCTCAGCCTCCTGAGGAGCTGGGACTACAGGCCCATACCACCGTGCCCAACTAATTTTTAAATACCTTTTTTTGTAGAGACTGAGGCTCAGTATATTGCCTAGGCTGGTCTCGAACTTCTGGCCTCCAGTGATCCTCCTGCTTTGACTCCCCAAAGCATTGGGATTACAGGCATGAGCCACCACACCTGGCCAAATTTCTTAAATTATGTAGTCAAATCAGTTTTCTCCTGTGCACTGTGTGCCTTTGCATTCATGCTTGGAAAGTTACTCCCTGAAATGGGTATTAATCAACCAAGAGCAGCAGTTCTCAGGCATGGTTCCTGGACCAGCAGCATTAATATCACCTGGGAATTCATTAAAAGTGTACCTTCCTGGGCGCCCACCCCAGAACTACTGAACCAGCACCAGGGTGGGGCTGGCAGTCTGCGCTCTAATGAGTCCTTCAGGGGATTCTGATGCTCCCTAGCTTGAGAGCCACCCTGCTAGAGCAGGGGCTGTCTACTTTGTCAGTAAAGGGCTAGATAATATGTTTTAGGATTTGGAGGCCATAGGGTTTCTGTTGCAGTGATTCAACTTTGCCTTTGTAGTGCTAAAGCAGCTATACACAATATACCAGTGATGGCCATTGTTGTGTTCCAATAAAACTTTATTTACAAAAACAAGCAGTGGGCCAGATTTGGAGGAGTAAACAAGGGCTCACGTGATCATCCTCCCACCTCAGCCTCCCGAGTAGTTGGGACTACAGGCATGTGCTATCACACTCGAAATTTTGTTTAGTTTTTGTAGAGACGAGGTCTCACTATGTTGCCTAGGCTGGTCTTGAACTCCTGGGCTCAAGTGATCCTCTTGCCTTGGCCTCCCAAATTGCTGAGATTACAGGTGTGAGCCACTGTGCCCAGCCTCCAGTATATTTTAATACCGTTTCTACAAGATTTAAATCAGTTCCAAATCAAAATGAGTGCTCGTAGAAGGTATGAGTGCAGAGGCTTCAAATGAAAATCGTTAGAATTTTATTAGTCGGCAGGTTTCGTATTTACAACTAAGACTTCCATTTTGAGTTTTCTACTTCTCTACATCTTTAGGCCCTTGCACAGGGCTAAGAGATTTAATTGAAATCTACTGAAAAGAGTGGCTGGCAGATCTTAACAGCTACATTTACATGAATTAGATAAAAACCCAAAGCCTTCTCAAGAAGCCTTTTTTGAGATCTAAGGATACATGGCAATAGTTATTGTATGTTACAGCATATGTTCTAGGCAGTTCTGAAGGAAAGGATTTGATGACTATCTTTTTTGGCAGAAATGTGATCCTTCTGGAGGCCGGAAGTTAGATTCAGTGGGCCCCAGTTCTTTTCAGGTTTAAGGAATAAGCGTTTTGGGCTATGAAAACTGGGGTTTGCCTAAAGTGTAAGATTGTGTTATATTTATAAATGCCTATGTTCGTTGCTGTGGGTTCACTGCTTGCTCATTTTCTGGGCAGCCATATCAACAAAAGAACCACCTACGTGGACCCAAGACTGGCGTTTACTGTGGATGATAATCCAACAAAGCCAACCACCCAGCAGAGATACGACGGCAGCACCACTGCCATGGAAATTCTCCAGGGCCGGGATTTCACTGGCAAAGTGGTTGTGGTCACTGGAGCTAATTCAGGAATAGGTAGGCTGTTCGCTTATTTATTTATCTTTGGGACTGCTATAATGAAATCCACTTAGATCTCACTATAATGGAATTATGTATAGTGGTTCTCTGATTTAAACATGAATTTTATCCTTTTCAGCTATCATTTCATTAACATCACCACCTCTTTTTAAATGCTAATGTTGTCATGGAAGCCTATGTAGGGGCTGACCTTGAAGTCTCCGAAAGCTGAACACTCAGCAAAAGACTGTGGCTATTTTGGTATTCAGGGATAAGAGACAACAGGCTCCGTCTAAGAGTTTTTGACCTGGTCTGCATGGTGTACGGGCATATTCCAATTACCTGAGTTATTCAAACCAAAATTGATTGGCAATAGAATACGGGGAACAACAAGGTATTATGTCTTTGGAACAAAGGATACTACAGGTTTCGATTGGTCACTGAGCATATCATTTTCTTTGGGCACAGGATCTTATTTCTCTGTAAAATTGGAGAATGAGTTCCTGTCTTCACCTCTAAATTAACCCTCTTAATTGCCAGTGTTTACCCACAGAGGTTATCATGGGTAGATGGCTCCAGAGGATATCCTTGCTTCAATATGATGGGCTGTTACAGAGACAGGAGCAAGGCAGAAGCAAAGCATAACTCTTCATAAGTTTTTATTCTGATTTTACTTTGGTCTATTTACATAAGTATCTGAATCAGTGAGAACCACCTGCTTTGAGTTTAGATATGCATCTTCAGAAAACATTGCATTTGGCTGTCTTCTGTCAAGTTCTCTCTGTCCTTTTGGTCCCTCTCAGCCCCCACATTGCCCCCTTGATGGTCTCCTCTACTCATTTGTTTGTTAATTTTGTTTTTATTTTTGTTTTCTGTGGGTATATAAAGGTGTCGATATTTATGGGGTTCATGAGATGTTTTGATACAGGGATGCAATGTGAAATAATCACATCATGGAGAATGGGGTATCCGTCCCCTCAATAATTGATTCTTTGAGTTATAAACAATTCAGTTATACCCTTTCAGATATTTTAAAATGTACAATTAAGTTACTGTTAACTATAGCCACCTTGTTGTGCTATCAAATAGTAGGTCTTATTCTTTCTTTCTTTTTTGTACCCATTAACCATCTGCACTTCTTTCTTAATTTTGAACAATTCCGTGAAGCTCCGGAAATATTTTCTGGCGTGATTAGGGAAGCACAGGAGGTAAAAATACATTGTTCAAGGGTCAATTATTGTGTTGTACAAGGTCTGAAATCTAACAGGCTACCATCCGAGCGGAGAATTTTTGACTGTACTTGCCTACGAAGGTGAAGAAGCAAATGGGAATTTTTTTTAATAATTGAAAGGGATTTATTTAAAATCAACTCTCATACCTCATCCTGGGCTCCAAATATGTTCAGTCCCTGCATTGGAGTAAATTTTATATAATTGTCATTGAAGTCAAAACTGATGATGTAATATTAAAAACAGTGGCTGCATCCCCAATCCAAGAAGCAATACATTTTGTTGATCGTATTAACTACTGTTAGGGTGAATGTGTGGACCCATACACTTGTGGAATAATTAAGAAAAAAGAACTTAAGGACTTAAAAATGTCTCTTAAAAATTTAACTAGTTAACCAGAGACTTTAAAGATCTTACTCTCTTAATCTTCTAGCTAGACTGTTTTTCTCTAATGAGTAAGATATGTGACTACTGATTATTTTTTGTGTTAAGTGTTCCAACTGCTCCATGTGACATTATGTAGCAGACTCTCGAATAGAGCTAATGTTCTTTCAAAGATTTGCAACAGCAGACCTACCACATTGTAATCCAGGACTGATAGAGTGGGTTCAGAATATTAAAAGGGTGATATCTAGTTAGATACATAAGTCTTGGTGGAGAGGAGGAGATTCTGAAGCATTGAGAATAAGTTTGTGGTTGTTGAGAATGGCCCTCACATGTTGGAGTAAAGCCAAAAACTCTTTGTGCCTCTTCACAGCTCCCACTTCCCCCTAAGACTCTTCCTTCCTGATACCTATGGTTCATTTTGCGGACACTGCAGGAGGTGTCTGCGGTCCAGTTGGAGGTTGTGGCAAATTGTAATGCTCAGGACGGCACAGATGTCGCACAAGGTCTTAGGGAGACCAGGCTTTCCTATTCAAGTGCCCACAGCCGTTTCCCCAGCTGTCACCTTCCACAGGAATGGCCTTTAACTGTTACCTCACCCCATTCCCCTTCACTCTTGGGAAGCATCCGTCTAGGTGAGTGGCGAACGTTTTCATTCTGAATTTTTGAAATAATATCGTAGTGCAAGTTCCAGGCAGTCAAAAACTCACCAGTCACTTTCACTCTGCAGCAGTGGTATCAGGCCTGAAGAAAGGAAGAGGCTGCAGAGAGGCACATGGCTTTGCTAAGTTCGCTTTTATATCTTGCGTGGCTGCCTTAGAAAGTGTCCTTGCCCATGTAGGCTGCAGCTTCTAGATAAAGTCCTTCTACTAAGCTTTGAAACACGCCAATTTATAAATTGCTATCACTACTTCAGTTCCGCTTATTTCAAATGAAATAGCTGAATGCTGAGTGAATGAATTCAGCATCTTTACTTCCAAGACTTCTGGGGCATTCAGGAGTCATCTTCTATCTAAGCTGTAATGGTGCTGGTGGTGGTCCCTTTCCTTTGTCCACTCAAGGGAGCCTATTTTCTTTGGATAAACTGTGGAATCTTTAACCTTGTGAATGTACGTTTTCTCTAAGGCAGACTGGACTGAAACAAAACATAACAGGATTTATTTTGGGAGTGGTGACTCTGTAATAAAAACATAGATACCCAATTTGCCTTACAAAAGCCGATTTACAAATCTAGTATTTCCAGTGGTTCTTGCTTTCTTTTTTTTTTTAATGCCCCACATGACACTGCTTTGTTGGAATTGCCATTGGCGAGGATCTCACTGATATGGAAGGGGACATCCCTCCCTTGCCAGATTTCAGGGTTGCACTGGAGCTGTGCCCCCTTTGAAGTGGCCTCTGAGCAGACTCTGTCTTGTATTATTTTCCTCTCGCAGTTGTAAGTGATACGGAGCTGTATTTTGAGTTTTTGATAGTGATATTACTAAGGCAATTGGAGGGATTCTTAATTCATCTAAAAAATCAGTGATTCTGACAGATAAAAGGATTTGGAGGAAATGTCAGAATAAAGCATTTTGGGTTCATGAAGTCCTTGGTGTTATAATTAAGGTTTATAGGCAGGTATTACTGCTGTTGACTGGATTCAGCTGTCTAGATTGGGGATGAACAAACTACGATCTCTGGGCTAACTCTGACCCACTGCCTGACTTTGTAAGTAAAATTTTTTTGGAACACAGCCATGCCCATTTATTCCCATTCCTATAGTGTTGAACTACTGTTTGTGTGTATTCAGTTATTTCAAAATAATATGGCCGTTTGCATGTTACCAGAAGAGTCGCCCAATTATGGCAGAGATCTTACGGCTCGCAAAACCGTGAATATTTACTCTTTGGCCTTTCCCAGAAAACAAGTGCCGACTCCTGTATTAGATAATCCAGTTCATTCAAAGTGATATCATCCCAACAGTCTGTAAATGAGCCACAGCTTAGATGAAATTTAGGCACATGGGATGCCCCAGGCCACAGGAAGACTGTGGCAGCACATTGTATGTAACTTGGGGACGTTGCACCAGTGTCCTGTACCTCCTGTGCCCCTTGCCTCAAACCCCCTTGTTTTTTGGGAGCTGCAGCTTTTTTTAGGGAGTTGCAAGGATTAGAATGTTGCCTCCTCAGAAACTAACACTCTTCTCTCCTTGACCTTTGTTTAACCAGCTTTCTGAACCTGAAGAACTTTGTAGATTGAAAGCTGTAGCTTGTGGACCTCTCTCTGTGGAGATCAGCATCTCAGTATCCAGGGGGAAGGCATCTCTTCACCCAGAGCTTCTGCTAGCAGATCAAGAGGCCCGGAACCCCGCAGTCCTGAATGCTAACCAGTAGAGACAAGGGAGGAATTCATTTCTGTTTGTGTTCAACATAGACTGAGCGGGAAGGGCCAGGTGTTTTACAGCTCTTTGGAGTTAGCAGCTTGATGGCTCTGATTTGGTAAAAGCAACGGAAATGCCTTCAGCACGGTGAACATTACATGCAAATGCTGGGAAGTGTTAGGAAAGGGAATTTTTTTAGGCGAGGGAGTTTCCCATTGAGGAAGGTCCCTGCTTCGTTTTTAGACACAGCCCATCAGTCAGCTAACTTGGTTATGCATATAAATACTTTAGTATAAAATGCTGCCCCCTGCTACCTGCAGGCTGACATGTTGCTCATCAAAGGCAGGATCCTTCTAATGAGGGATTAGTTGGATGCCTAAATGTGGGACCACCTACTCTGTTCATTGTCTTAATTAGCTAGATGTTTGTTGGAACTCATGCAAATTATTTTCTGTAAGCAGACAGGTTTATTATCATATATAAGGAGTAACATCCAGGGTTTGTCAGACACCCAGTAAATTTTTTTTTTTTTTTTTAAATATTTGAGATGTGGTCTCACTATGTTGCCCAGGTGTTGGTCTCGAACTCCTGGGTTCAAGTGATCCTTCCACCTCAGCCTCCCAAAGTACTGAGATTACTGGTGTGAGCCTTTGTGCCCAGATGCTATTAACAAGTATGAACAAATTAGATATTTTCTGTCTAATCTTCTGTGGTAATGATGATAAAACTTCTTAACTTTCAATCCTAAACCAGCAGTGGCTAAAACTTGATTTTTAAAATTTTTTTCAGAGTTTGGTCCAGATGAAAAATTTCTTTCACTTTGCGAACCTTTCGAACGCTGGGCTGTATCATATGTTGTGACTCTAGAGCTAGAATAGCCTAGCTTGGTTTCAGTTTTTGAACCAAAGGACCCATTAACAGAAACAAAACTTTTTTTTCCTCCAAACAAATACAAGCTGGCCACGTTGGTAAATACCAGTGAAATATATTTTGGGACCGACACTTGAATTTTCTATTGGTATTTATGTCACAAAATCACTTCTCTA